TTTTCCGGGGTTACTTCCCTTCTTTGTTTTTTAATGTCACTAGGACCAGCTTCAGAGTCACTGGACCCCTGTCGCTCAAAAAATTGCTCCAGAGAGCTCTGTTTCTGGCGTCACCTTAAGATTTGCCTAAAATGTGACAAGGCATTGTCAATGAACATGTTGCAGACACGGCCTACAACTGCTTTGTTAGGGTGATGTTCCTCCACAAACGTTTGCACCTGTCTCCACTTTGCACAAATGTCCTTAATCTTTGAAGAAGGCACCTTCTACCCTCTCTGTTCCTCCTCCTGTGAAGCAATTTCCTCAGCTCTGGTCTGTTGCTGTTGCAGATGAAGCTCTTGCAGCCCGTCAGTGGTTAGCTCTTCACTGTGGTCCTCCACCAACTCTTCCACATCCTGGCCACTCACCTCCAACCCCATGGAATTCCCCAATGCCACAAAACATTCCACAACAGGCGTAGGGTCAACAGGGTCAGCCACACATACGCCACTTTCATATTTTTCTATGATTTCTTTTTTTAATTCTATCATGTTTCTCACCTTCTTTACCAAAGGGATGGCACTAGGAGTTTTCTTTGGGCCCATGGTATCACGGTTAGCAGTTGCAAGCAAAAAAAAACAATGGATTATTACAAAATGTTTTGTATGAATGTGGGGGGTCATGCTCACTTGCCAAGAAACAATGCCAGACTGACACTTGAATGCATCTTTGGGAGGCTTTGTGTGCACAGGGCCACTGGGACATGTACCATATGATCACTGAATTTAGAGGGAAGTCACAAAAATAGAGGCTATACAGTGGACCCTCGTTTTTTGTAAGGCTCAAAAGCCGTAATTTTTGAAAATCGTAACTTTTTTTTTCATCAAAACATTGACTCGAAAATTGTTGTTTGACTCGCAAATACAGTGGACCCCCGCATAGCGGACGCCTTGCATAGCGGACAATCCGCATAGCGGACGCTTTGTTCGCTAAAATTTTGCCCCGCATAGTGGACAAAATCCCGCTCAGCGGCCTTCGTCCAAGACGCGTCCAATGTGCGCCCTCAGCCAGCCTCACATGTGCCGCCTGTGCCATTGTTTACCAGCCAGCCTCCGCGGTAACATTCAAGCATACACTCGGAATATTTCGTATTATTACAGTGTTATTCGGTGGTGTTTCTGGAAATGATGTGACCATGGGCCCAAGAAGCTTCTAGTCCAACCCTACAGCAATAAGGGTGAGGATTCCTATTGAAATAAGAAAGAGATCATTGATAAGTATGAAAGTGGTGTACGTATCACCGACCTGTCAGGTGTACAGAAACCAAATCAACCATCTCTTCTATTTTGGGCAAGGAAAAACGGCAAAATCAGGAAGCTGTTGTTGCCAAAGGTTTTAACTGTGTTTTCGAAAAAATAGATCGCATGGGATGGGGAGGATGTGGAGCGACTTCTTATTGGTGTGGATAAATGAAAAACAGCTGCAGGAGATAGCGTCTATCAAGCGTCATATGTGAAAAGGTAGGAAGTTGCATGAGATTTAATTAAAAAATGCCTGCAACTAGTGATGATGTTGAGTGGAATTTAAGGCAGCAAAGGTTGGTTTGAGAGATGTTAAGAAGCGTAGTGGCATCCTTAGTGTGATACGGCCATGGAGAGGCTGCCAGTTCGGGACCACCAAAAGCGGCTGATAAAATATGTGATGGAATTCAAGAGTACATAGAAACTGAAGGACTGAAACTGAACAAGTGTTTAATTGTGATGAAACAGGCTGTTTTCTGGAAGAAAATGCAAGCAGGACCTACTTTACTCAGGAGGGCAAAGGCACTCCCAGGACATAAGCCTATGAAGACAGGCTTACTTTGTTTGATTGTGTGCCAATGCTACGAGGTGATTGCCAAAGTTAAGCCTTTATTAGTATATCACTCTGAAACTCCCAGAGCTTCAGGCAAAAGAATGTCCTCAAGGATAATTTGTGTGTGTGTGGAGGGCCAAACAGTAAGGCATGGGTCACTAGGGAATTTTTCTATAAACTGGTTACACCTTGCATTTGCCCCAATGTGAAAGATTATAACTTGAAAAGTAATAGACCTAAGTGGGGCTCTGGTGTTTAGACAATGCCCCAGGTCATCCTACAGACGTGGCAGAGCGGACTTTATGGGGACATGAGCTTCATTAGGTGAAGTTTTTGCCTCTATACCATCCTCTCCTGCAGCACATGGACAGCAGGTCAGGTCATTCCAAACTTCAAGAAACTGACACAAAAAGCTCTGTTTCAAAAGGGCTTTGAAAAAGTGAACACAGACACTCGATTGACTCTAAAAGAGTTTTGGAAGGGATCACTTAATCTCCTCAATTGTGTAAACCTTATAGGTAAGGCTTGGGAGGGAGTGTCTAGAGAAACCTTGACTCTGCTTGAAGAAACTGTGGCCAGAATGTGTAGACAAAATGGATTTGAAGGGTTTCAGGCTAACCTGAGAGGAGTATACCAGTTGAGGAATCAATGTGGAATTGGAGGAGTCCTTGGGGTTGGAGGTTAGTTGGGGAGGATGTGGAAGAGTTGGTGGAGGAGGACAATGAAGAACTAACCATGATTGAGCTGATAGATCAACTTCAAGAGCAAGAGGGCCGACCTGGGGAAGGAAAACTGGTTCACAGGAGGGGGGAGAGAGAATTGAAGGAATTGTCTACTTCACAGATAAAGGAAATGTGTGCAAAATGGCTTGAGTGCAACCTTTCTTGATGAATATCACACTCACACCGCTTATTGAAGGCGTGCTGGTGGACTGTTTCAATGGACAGTGTTGTGAACCACTTTAGACAAATCATTAAAGGAACGAGAGGGTTACAGGCCCACTATGGCAGATAGTTGTGCGAAAGAAGTCCAGTGACTTGAAGTGGTCCTAGTGGCATTAAAGATGAGGGAAGGTAAACCCCAGAAAAGGACTTGCTACCTCAAGTCCTAATGGTAAGGGGATTCCCTTATAAAAACACTAACACTCTCTCTCCCCTCCTCCAGGCCCATCATTCATCACAGATTCTTCAATAAAAAAGTAAGTGGTCATGTATTGTGCATTGCCTTTTTCAGTTTGTGTGTACTAAAATTACATTTTTTTGTGTAGGTAAAAAAAAATTTTTTTCATACTGTTGGGTGTCGTGGCACGGATTAATTTTTTTCCATTATTTCTTATGGGGGAAAATCATTCGCATAGCGAACATTTCGATAACAGCCAGCCCTCTTGCACGGTTAAGGTCGCTATGCGGGGGTCACTGTAGTGTTTGTCTCAGACGCGTATTGCACGCCTGACTGCCCTCACACTCCATTCGCCAGTGTGACATTGTTTATCGGAGTGAGAATGATCCCTGTGTTCATACCATTACATTTCATAATATTCCTTCGTTTTGTGCTTGCAACTGCATAAATAAGCCACCATGGTGGGCTCCAAAGAAAGCTTCTAGTCCAGCCCTCTTTGGTAAAGATTGTGAGAAACACACATAATTAAGAAAAAGTTGGGTAGAAAACACGAAAGTGGTGGTGGTATAGAGTGGTAGCAGTTGTGATAATTGTAGAGGGGTGGTAGTGATGATGGTAGGCAGTTGTTTAAAGTGGTAGAGAGTGGCAGAGCGTTCTAGTAGTAGAGGGTGGTGGTGATTGGTGTAGAGGGTGGTAGTGGTTCGTAGATGGTGGTAGAGTGTGCCTCCTTCTTCCAGTGTCAGCAATTCTACTAATCCTCCGTATGTTGTTGGAGTTAAATATAGGGGCTACAGGAAAACACTGCCGCTCAGCTGCCTGCTTCACCAACAAATGGACGGCTTATGTTCTCAAGTGGCCCTTATACCACCGACAACACACAAACAAAACACCTTCTTTGTGACATACATAATGACATATTTTAATTCATTTTGAGTATATTCCATGATGTCTATGTTAATTTAATATTGTTTATTTGTCATAATAGTGGATTTTTTGATAGATAAAATAAGGTAGAGTTGATATTAGTGTCATATTCTCTAAACAAACTCCCATCCCTCCCTATGCTCTGTCTGCATACACAGCAAGAGTCTTCAATAAAGGTAGTTGATGTTAAAATGTTAATTTATACATTTATAAGTGCTTTACGTTTATTTGGCATTCTTTTCTGCATGTAAATCTATATTTAAGCTAGGGAAGTGACCTAGAGTCCTTATGGAGGGGATTCCCCTTCCAAACAATAACCTCTCTTCCCTTTCTCCTCCTCCCTGTCTTCCATTCATCAACAACAGCCTTCAATAAAGGTAACTGTCATATTGAATGTTCATTCTTTTGTGCATGTAAATCTATCTTTAAGGTTAGATTTTTTTTTTTTTTTTTTTTGATACTTCTGGGTGACTGGAATGAATTAATTGGATTTACATTATTTCTTATGGGGAAAATGGATTCGCAAATCGTCAATAGTCACTCTGGAACAAATTAATTATGAAAAACGAGGGCCCACTGTATTTTGAGAAAAAAAGTTGCTGAAATTAGAGAATCACGAAATTAGAGGTATTACTGTACATGTACTGTGCATCAATGACATACTTCTGCTGTACATAGAAAGCTGCTTGTTATGCAGAGTATTTCGGGCAAATTAGGTCAATTTTGTCCCAGGATGCGACCCACAACATTCAACTAACACCCAGGTACCCATTATTACTGATGAGTGAACATAGACAACTGGTGTATGGAAACACACCCAGTGTTTCTACCCTCGCCAGGAATTGAACCCTGACTTTGACCATGTGAAGCATGAACTTTTGCCACCAGGCAAAAGCCACTGTGCTTTTCTCTCTCCTATGTGTGGGTTATTTGAGTACATTTTTGCCACCCTCAGATGAAAAGTATTTCTTAACATCCCCCTGGCTCATTTATGTAATTGCTTCTATTTATACCTCCTCATGTTTTTTATTTATTTTTTTTTTCAAGAGTGTGTCCCTATTTGCCTGTTCTAATTTTCATATTGAATATTTCCCAATGAATTAATTGTTTTTATACTTTTTCAGATGTGAAGAATCCTGAAGATAGTGAATTCAGCTCTGATAATGATGTTGCTTTCTGGGAGAAGATGAAAATGAAATCTAGGAAAAGGAAGAAATATAAAATAAAAGCTGGTGGTTCTGAAAAAAGAAAATATTTGAAATATCCAGCAGGCTTTAGTAATTATGGCACTAAGATGCCACTTGAAGAGAACAGTTCAATCCTAGGTAAGATAACAGTCACTCTTCCACAGCCAGAACCAACACAAGAAAGTAAAACCATTGAAAAAGAAACAGATTCTGTAAAAAATGAGGTTGATATAAAAAATGATGACTGGGTGACAGATGATGAAGTGGATGCTGAAGAAGAAGTGGATATAGATTTAGCTTTCAAACTTGAGTGGAAGAAGAAGCGTCATCCGTATAATACAAAGGAAAAGAATTTTGTGTGTGAGGTATGTGGTAAGCTGTATTCAAAGCATCATTATTTAAGAGAGCATATTGTGAGAGATCACAATGATCATGAGCAAGCTAAGAGATACCCTTACTGCTGCCAGCACTGCAAGAGACTATACAGTGGTGAGAGACAGTTAAAGTATCATCAGCAGCAACACAGTGGCCCCTGTGAGATCTGTGGTCTCATGCTGAGGTGCAGTGGACTCTTTTGGATCCACAGGAGAAATCACGACTCCCAGTGTGAAGCTTGTGGCAAAATATTTCAAACAAAAAGTTCTCTAGATATGCACATGAAACTTAAACACACTGAAAAAACAATTCCATGTCCTCTGTGTCCAAGAATGTTTCCATTCAAGTTTCTCATGAATAAGCATGTTGCCAAGGCACACAATTCTAGTGCACCTTTGAAACATAAATGTGATGATTGTGACTTTCATGCTAGGACTGAGGGTGCTCTCAGAATCCATCAGAGGAGGATGCACACTGTGGTGTTCAATTGTGATGTATGTAACTCCTCATTTAACACAAAATTTGCATTTGATGAGCACTTAGCTCTTCATGTTGGTGAACTTGAATTTTCTTGTCAGTTGTGTATGCAGACCTTTAATTCACAAAATGATTTGTACTTTCACCAGAAAACTGTTCACGAGGGGTCAACCAGTGGCACCATAATAGAACAACCGGCTCTTACTGGCCAGTTGCATCACAAAATTCTCATGTCTTATCCATGTGAAATATGCAACATAAAATTTCCTACCCGCAAAAAACTCAGTCGTCACCTTTTGAAAGTTCATGGCATAGATATTAACACAGCCAGAGAATCAAAAGAAGTCGAGGAATCCATTCAGGTAGAAGAAATGGATGAAACTGCCACCGCTGTAATGCAGATCAATGTTAACAAAGAGGATCTTCAGCCAATTGAATCGTCTCCAGACTTCAGAGAGAACCAGACCATTTTTACTCTTACTGGAGGTAATTTCCAAGGATCCAGATCAGCCCTTTTAATGCCAGCTAATGTTGTTCCTCCTGATGTTAGTATCGTAGATATTGATGGTGTGCGGTACCATGTCATCAGGGGCACCCAGTAGAAACAAAAAGCAGTAATTCCTTCATTACCATATAGGCCATATTCCCACAAAAGAAAACATTCATTATTCATTCAGGACAGCAATTAAATGAATGCTGGTTAATGTTTCATTTTGGTCACTGTTTTAGTGCAAGACTGCTGATATACTAAAACATATATGATGTGTAATATATCATTAGCTGCAAATTAGTGAGCACCTCAGTTAATAAAATTTATATACAATAGCTATTTTTGGAGAGAAACCCATCTTTTGCTAATATATTTTGTTTAAAAAAAATTGAAAAGGTAGATGGCAGCAATTGTGCTTGTTTCTATTATAATAGATAATTACAATATTACAAAACTTATTCATTAGGAGTGAATGGAGACAAATGGTTTTTAATACTTGATGTGCTGTTGGAGTGTGAGCAAAGTAACATGAAGGGATTCAGGGAAACTGGCAGGCCGGACTTGAGTCCTGGAGATGGGAAGTACAGTGTCTGCACTCTGAAGGGGAGGATGTTAATGTTGCAGTTTTATAACTGTAGTGTAAGCATCCCTCTGGCAAGACAGTGACAGAGTGAATGATGAGGAAAGTTTTTCTTTTTTGAGCCACCCTGCCTTGGTGGGAATCGGCCGATGTGCTAATAAAAAACAAATTAATCATTATGTATTTTGAATGCCCATATTACAACAAAGGTGTATAATTAAAAATTGAATTGTAGTTCCTGTAAATTTACATGGGATTGACACTTCTTGTGACAACTTTAACCCTTTCACTGTCAGTGACGTACAGGTACAGCTTACAAGCTAGTGTTGGTGACGTATTAATACCCCAAAGTTCTAGCGGCTTCAAATCTAGCAGGAGAAAGTCGGTAGACCTACATATGAGAGAATGGGTCTGTGTGGTCAGTGTGTGCAATATAAAAAAAATCCTGCAGCATGCAGTGCATAATGAGAAAAAAAACTCCGACTGTGTTTTTGGATTAAAACACCGACTTTGAGGTGTATTTTCGTATGGTATTTATGGCTATATTCTTGTTTTCTTGGTCTCATTTGATAGACTGGAAGATATATTACAGAATTGGAGATTTTCTGATTGGTTTCATGGTGAAAAGTATCTTGAAATTGAGCTCAAAGTAGCAGAAATGTTCGATTTTTGCCGATGTTCAAGAGTAAACAAATGACATCACTGTCCAATACGTGTCCAACTGGCCAGTCTAATACACACTGACAAATGGGTTGACATTATTTATACAATTATATAATAATGCACTAGTCTGCATTATTATATAATTGTATGTAAATCTTCTATTTTTTGTGTGAATAAAAATTCAAATTGGAAAGCAAGAGTAATATAAGAGGGGCCTGGAGACGTGACTAATGAACAGAGAAAAATGTTATTTTAGTGCCAGTTATGTCTGCATTGTTTATTCTGGACCCTGTTTTGAAATTTGCATGAAATTGGCCAAATTGCCAATTTTTTACCACTATTGGGTAGTTGAAATCGGTAAATGGACAGTTTCTTGTACTCAATCAATAGAACAAATGGAGTTCTAGAGAAATATCTATGAGTTTGGTCAACTGGAACAATGGAATTGGCCAAAAATAGGGCTCAAAGTTGGCAAAATCGCCACTGTGTATACAGTGGTACATCGGCATACGTCCACTTTGGAATAAGTCTAACTTGGTATATGTCCTGTTTGGTCATGAAAATTTTTGCTTGGTATACAACCTTTGTTTGGAACAGGACTCGTGTGCTAGAACTTGTATGGGTCAAAATGAGTCATAACACCACGCCGTACCCTTGTTTACCTCTCACTCGAGACGAAGCCACAACTGCCCACTAGCATCAGTATACCCATTGCTACCTTCAGTGAACAACCCGCGCTGTAAATCTCTGAATTTTCACGTGATTTTGTGTTTTTTTCGTAAAAAAATTTAGTAAATTCATTAACCATGTGTTCTAAGAAAGTTAATGAGAAGAGCCAAGCTATGAAGAAAATGGTTAGGATCACTATGGAGGTGAAAAAAAGAAATTGCTGAAAAGTATGAAAGTGGCATGCGTATCCAGGATTTGGCTGCTGCATACCATGTGCTGAGAACAACAGTATCTACGATTGTGAAAAACAAATATGTTATTAATTCAGCTAATGTTGCGAAGGGGGTGAAATTGATTAGCAAACAAAGATCAGGGATGTTAGAGCATGTTGAAAAATTGCTTTTGATCTGGATTAAGCAGTGTTTAAATTATTTTATACAACGCCATCAACATAAAATATGCCAATAACAATAGGATTTTTTTTTCATGGGAATGGATTAATCATTTTCCCTATATTTCTTATGGGAAAATTTGTTTGGTATATGTCCTGTTTGATACAAATCCAAGGTCCTGGAACGAATTAAGGACGTATACCGAGGTACCACTGTATATCGCTGAGACTGCTAACTTCGCGAGAGTGCAATTCCATAAGTTTTCCATCAAATTTCATACTTTTGGTGTCATTACCATCGGGAAAAGATTATCATTTCATAAGGTAGTAGGTTGGAAGACAGCAACCACCCAGGGAAGTACTACCGTCCTGCCAGATGACTGTGAAACAGAAACCTGTAACTGTTTTGCATGATGGTAGGATTGCTGGTTTCTTTTTCTGTCTCATAAACACGCTAGATAACAGGGATATCTTGCTACTCCTACTTACACTTTGGTCACACTTCACAGACACGCACATGCATATATATATACATACATCTAGGTTTTTCTCCTTTTTCTAAATAGCTCTTGTTCTTCTTTATTTCTTCTATTGTCCATGGGGAAGTGGAAAAGAATCTTTCCTCCGTAAGCCATGCGTGTCGTATGAGGCGACTAAAATGCCGGGAGCAATGGGCTAGTAACCCCTTCTCCTGTAGACACTTACTAAAAAAGAGAAGAAGAAAAACTTTATAAAACTGGGATGCTTAAATGTGCGTGGATGTAGTGCGGATGACAAGAAACAGATGATGCTGATGTTATGAATGAAAAGAAGTTGGATGTCCTGGCCCTAAGCGAAACAAAGCTGAAGGGGGTAGGAGAGTTTCAGTGGGGAGAAATAAATGGGATTAAATCTGGAGTATCTGAGAGAGTTAGAGCAAAGGAAGGGGTAGCAGTAATGTTAAATGATCAGTTATGGAAGGAGAAAAGAGAATATGAATGTGTAAATTCAAGAATTATGTGGATTAAAGTAAAGGTGGGATGCGAGAAGTGGGTCATAATAAGCGTGTATGCACCTGGAGAAGAGAGGAATGCAGAGGAGAGAGAGAGATTTTGGGAGATGTTAAGTGAATGTATAGGAGCCTTTGAACAAGTGAGAGAGTAATTGTGGTGGGGGACCTGAATGCTAAAGTAGGAGAAACTTTTAGAGAGGGTGTGGTAGGTAAGTTTGGGGTGCCAGGTGTAAATGATAATGGGAGCCCTTTGATTGAACTTTGTATAGAAAGGGTTTAGTTATAGGTAATACATATTTTAAGAAAAAGAGGATAAATAAGTATACAAGATAATAGTAGGGCGAAATGACATTTGTTTGTTGGATTATGTATTGGTAGATAAAAGACTGTTGAGTAGACTTCAGGATGTACATGTTTATAGAGGGGCCACAGATATATCAGATCACTTTCTAGTTGTAGCTACACTGAGAGTAAAAGGTAGATGGGATACAAGGAGAATAGAAGCATCAGGGAAGAGAGAGGTGAAGGTTTATAAACTAAAAGAGGAGGCAGTTAGGGTAGATATAAACAGCTATTGGAGGATAGATGGGCTAATGAGAGCATAGGCAATGGGTCGAAGAGGTATGGGGTAGGTTTAAAAATGTAGTGTTAGAGTGTTCAGCAGAAGTTAGTGGTTACAGGAAAGTGGGTGCGGGAGGAAGAGGAGCGATTGGTGGAATGATGATGTAAAGAGAGTAGTAAGGGAGAAAAAGTTAGCATATGAGAAGTTTTTACAAAGTAGAAGTGATGCAAGGAGGAAGAGTATATGGAGAAAAAGAGAGAGGTTAAGAGAGTGGTGAAGCAATGTAAAAAGAGCAAATGAGAGAGTGGGTGAGATGTTATCAACAAATTTTGTTGAAAATAAGAAAAAGTTTTGGAGTGAGATTAACAAGTTAAGGAAGCCTAGAGAACAAATGGATTTGTCAGTTAAAAATAGGAGAGGAGAGTTAGAGGTATTGGGAAGATGGAGGGAATATTTTGAGGAATTGTTAAATGTTGATGAAGCTGTGATTTCATGTATAGGACAAGGAGGAATAACATCTTGTAGGAGTGAGGAAGAGCCAGTTGTGAGTGTGGGGGAAGTTCGTGAGGCAGTAGGTAAAATGAAAGGGGGTAAGGCAGCCGGGATTGATGGGATAAAGATAGAAATGTTAAAAGCAGGTGGGGATATAGTTTTGGAGTGGTTGGTGCAATTATTTAATAAATGTATGGAAGAGGGTAAGGTACCTAGGGATTGGCAGAGAGCATGCATAGTTCCTTTGTATAAAGGCAAAGGGGATAAAAGAGAGTGCAAAAATTATAGGGGGATAAGTCTGCTGAGTATACCTGGTAAAGTGTATGGTAGAGTTATTATTGAAAGAATTAAGAGTAAGACGGAGAATAGGATAGCAGATGAACAAGGAGGCTTTAGGAAAGGTAGGGGTGTGTGGATCAGGTGTTTACAGTGAAACATATAGTGAACAGTATTTAGATAAGGCTAAAGAGGTCTTTGTGGCATTTATGGATTTGGAAAAGGCGTATATGACCAGGTGGATAGGGGGGCAATGTGGCAAATGTTGCAAGTGTATGGTGTAGGAGGTAGGTTACTGAAAGCAGTGAAGAGTTTTTACGAGGATAGTGAGGCTCAAGTTAGAGTATGTAGGAAAGAGGGAAATTATTTCCCAGTAAAAGTAGGCCTTAGACAAGGATGTGTGATGTCACCGTGGTTGTTTAATATATTTATAGATGGGGTTGTAAGAGAAGTAAATGCGAGGGTCTTGACAAGAGGCGTGGAATTAAAAGATAAAGAATCACACACAAAGTGGGAGTTGTCACAGCTGCTCTTTGCTGATGACACTGTGCTCTTGGAGATTCTGAAGAGAAGTTGCAGAGATGGTGGATGAATTTGGTAGGGTGTGCAAAAGAAGAAAATTAAAGGTGAATACAGGAAAGAGTAGGTTATGAGGATAACAAAAAGATTAGGTAATGAAAGATTGAATATCAGATTGGAGGGAGAGTGTATGGAGGAGGTGAATGTATTCAGATATTTGGGAGTGGACGTGTCAGCGGATGGGTCTATGAAAGATGAGGTGAATCATAGAATTGATGAGAGAAAAAGAGTGAGTGGTGCACTTAGGAGTTGTGGAGACAAAGAACTTTGTCCTTGGAGGCAAAGAGGGGAATGTATGAGAGTATAGTTTTACCAACGCTCTTATATGGGTGTGAAGCATGGGTGATGAATGTTGCAGCGAGGAGAAGGCTGGAGGCAGTGGAGATGTCATGTCTGAGGGCAATGTGTGTGTGAATATAACGCAGAGAATTCGTAGTTTGGAAGTTAGGAGGAGGTGCGGGATTACCAAAACTGTTGTCCAGAGGGCTGAGGAAGGGTTGTTGAGGTGGTTCGGACATGTAGAAGAATGGAGCGAAACAGAATGACTTCAA